GGTCACATACGTCCTAGATGTTTCAAATATTTAAAACTTGTGAAAAAGCTTGTGGCTCGTTCTCTTTACTCTGCTAGGGCTGATTATTTTCCTTCACCCTCTCAAAAACCCAAAAATAAAATTGATATTTCCAATAGACCTCAGCAAAAAATTTGGGTTGAAAAGTTCACGTTTAAATGCTTATCTGCGATTACTTCTTTAAAAGCAAGTACTACTAATGATTGGTATTTTGACAGTGGGTGTTCACGACATATGACCGGTGTTAAAGAGTTTCTGAAAAACTATCAACAAATCACCGGTGGAGCTGTTACCTTTGGAAACGGAAAAAAGGGTGAAGTGCTAGGGAAAGGATCGCTAAATCATGAGAATCTGCCAAAGCTGAAGAATGTACTACTTGTAGAAGGACTCACGTCAAATCTGATAAGCATCAGCCAGCTATGTGATCAAGATCTTGAAGTTAGATTCAACAAATTCGCATGTCGAGTATTAGACAAAGATGAGAATTGTGTTATTCAAGGAACTCGATCATCTGACAACTGCTATATTCTTGTCTCTGCTGGTATGAACTGTTTCAACAGTCTGTCAGACTCTACAGTGCTTTGGCACAAAAGAATATCTCATGAATTCTCCGCACCTAAAACACCTCAACAAAATGGAGTGGTTGAACGCAAAAATCGCACTCTGCAAGAGATGGCCAGGGTCATGATGAACGCACAGGAGATCGCTCCTCGTTTTTGGGCAGAAGTAGTTAACACTGCATGTCATATCATAAATCGAGTCTATCTTCGACCAGGTACCACTAAAACTCCGTACGAAATTTGGAAAGGACCACTGGAAGAGGAACCAACAAAGGAATCGGAAAACAGCTCCAGTGTCGCACCAACAGTTCCAACAGTTGATGCAGCCTCTACCATTTCAGAAGAAAGTGACGTCAATTCTGAAACAGGAGACGAAGCTGAAGTCAGGCCTCTCGAATTGGATGATCAAACTCACAAGGAACCCTCAAGAAGAGTCAAGAAGAATCATCCAGTGGATCAAGTCATTGGCCCGGTAGAAGAAGGAATTCAAACCCGAGGCTTTAGCGATGCTGATTGGGCAGGTGATGCAGACGATCGAAAAAGCACAACTGGAGGATGTTTCTATCTTGGGAACAATCTCGTGTCCTGGTACAGCAAAAAACGGAATAGTATCTCGCTTTCCACTGCTGAATCGGAATATATCGCCGCTGGTAGTTGTTGTGCCCAACTCTTATGGATGAAACAAATGGTATGTGATTATGGTATTAGTCAAGATTTATTGCATATTTATTGTGACAATGTGAGTGCGATTAATATTTCCAAGAATCCAGTACAGCACTCTCGAACTAAGCATATTGAAATTCGCTACCATTTCATTAGAAATCTTGTAGAGGAAGGAACTGTCTCATTAGAGTATGTCACAACGGAGAAACAACTTGCTGACATCTTTACTAAACCCCTAGATGCACAAAGGTTTGATTCCTTGCGAAATTCGCTTGGAATTTGTATTGTCTGACCTGTGCAGTTGCATAAACTGTTGCAACAGTCTGTGTCCAGACTTGCAACTTTTAAAGTTTTATGGACACATCACGCATACTGCATTTTGTTCATCTAGGTTATGCATTAGACATATTGCATGTGCTGAGACCCCTTGTGTATTGGATACTATCTGTACTTTCGAATCTTGTGAGGTAGAACTTCATCAATCCCCAAATGATAGCTACAGAGGCTTTAGCATATTTACTACCCTTCACAGTCTTGTCATGGTTGAACACACTCATAAGGAAAAGCTGCCGCTTCAAATGAGTGAAAGCTTCTCTTGAATTTTCGTTAATTCTATATATAAAATGTCAATCAATTGGTCTGTGAATAGTTCGAAGCCTTTTTGAGTTGAGTCAGTAAATCACTTGGCCGAAAGCTCGCTACAAGGCTCAATTAGAAAGCCCAAGGGACTACACATTGCACGACCATTATAAATTTTATATGCGGTCAGTGAATAGTTCGAAGCCTTTTTGAGTCGAGCCGGTAAACCACATGACCGAACACTCACTACACGACTCAATTAGAAAGCCCAGGGGACTACACATTGCACGATCATAACTATCTCGCTATTTTAATTGCTCTGCTCTTCATGAAAAAGCTACCTTTGATAGTGTGTGTATGCTGCCTAATAAGAGTGTTTTTGTGCTTGATTTAAGGACACTAAATTTGCTGTTAGTCTCCTTAGTCTATCTCTTGGAGCTTGCTTTTTGTTAAAATTGAAGATAAACCCCATGGTTTGATAGTCCTAATAGTATCCTATTCACTTGTGTTTATTCACTCTTTTTTTTTTCTTCTCACGTTTATTTTTCGTCTTAGTTATTTGCCTCTGCATGTTAGGCATTTATTTATTTATTAAATAAAAAAAAAAAAAAAAAATATCCGGGTTTATTTATTAAATAAAAAAAAAAAAAAAAAATATCCGGGGTGGGTTCGTAATTTTTGGCGGCAATATATTTCTTCGGAGTAACTCACTGTTCTGAGCATTTTTTTCTTCTCGAAGTTTATTTGAACTGTGTTGGGCTTCATATGCGAAAGTTGAGAGTTGCTGTATCTGAATTTGATTTTCATTAATTGAATTTATTGTGAGCATAATTATTATATTTGCAATTCTCTCACTTGACTATTCCTAATTGCTAAACAACCCCTGAGCAGACCAACAGTCATCCTTGGAGAATCCCGTATTCATTTTTTTCTCTCCAATTTTTCTTCTTCCCTACTGCTCTGTTTGCTTCTTCTTCTTCTTTTGCAGCAAAACCCAAAAAATTCAACACAGTCGAAGGGAATCAACAACATCGTCATGGGCAAAAGAAATAAAAAAAAAAAAAAAAAAAAAAACATCGGTGGTTCATCCTCGTCGTCCAAACGACGGTCCTCACGGCCGCCTCCGTCGACAATTTTGGCAATCTGCCACTCATTTTGGTCCCTAGGTTTTCTCCACCGCTGTCGCCGCCAGTCTCACCGCCGTCACCGTTCATCTATTCTCCACCATCTCCTCTACTGCCACACTCGCCGGCTGCCCAATCGTCACCACCACCGTGTGCACCGCCATCGCAACCACCCAAACCGGCCTCACCTGCACCCCGCCACCTCGCCGCTCTCGTCGATGCGTTACTCACTCTGCCTCGCCTTCCGCTACTCGCACCACCGCAGGTCACTCTGCACCGGATCCCGTGGTGCCTATCTCTGCTGTCGATGCTTTTAATTCTCGGTTCTTTCTCCGAGCGCATCAAACCCGGTGGCGTCTGTCAAGTGGTTCATGATTTTTATGCCAACCTACCTAGTGGGGTCTCTGATTTTCGAGGTCGTTTTTACGAAGAAGAAACTCGACTATTTTACTGCCCTTGCTCAGAAAGGGGGAGATTATTCTTGAGGGGGAGTTGACAACGAAGCATCAACCCAGGAGGAACCGCATACAGGGGGAGCTGATGCAGCTGCTGGAACTACTACTGAACTGTTGTTGCTCCAACTGTTCCAACAGTTGATGGTACAACAGCTGAAGTTGATACGAATGATGACGAGGAGTTGTTCGTTGATGCTGAATGTATTCTGGAGTAGTTTTTTTGTGGTTGTCGAATTGATTTTCTGAACAACGGCCTCTAATAGTCTGCTAGGCTTAACTTTTTTCTTGTTTCGTTAACTGCTTTTTCCTTTAACTGTTCTAACAGTTACTCTATTATGCAGTCTAATGTTTTGTCAGGCATTTGATCAAGGGGGAGGACTTGATTATAATAAATAGATGACAAAGGGGGAGATTGTTAGAATCCGAGAGGATTCTATTTCGGTTTTTCAACACGTGTGCGAAAAATGTGTATAAAAACTAGGGAAGTTTCCTTAGTTCTTTAAACTCTTATTTTGTCATTAATTTATTTAATTGCCTAAGTGTTTTATTAACAAGGAATTTAATTGACTAAGACTTTCCTTGTTTTACATAACTCCTTGTTCCTTACGTGAAGAGTATTTCTAACCTAATGGGCTCTAATTTTTGTAGGGCTCTACTAATTCACCTAAGGAAGTATAAGAAGGGCAGCATCAACGTTTTTATACGTGGTCCCTTTTATTTGAGAGAAAAACTTTTTCTGCTCTTACGTTGCTGCTCCTGAGTTGTGATCTTATTCGAGAAGAAAAACACAGCAAAAGATTTGCTTCTTTCACGCGAAAAGAAGATCGGTTCTTCGGGAGGAGAACTCAGAAGATCTCGGGAGGAGGTCGATCCGCCGACTGAGGGACTCAGCGTTGAAGGAATTTCAACCGTGCGGAAAGGGACGTGCTGCAAAGTGAAGATTCACAATTCAGCGTAGGATACAAGAACGGCGTCGACAAAGAGGGAGTCTTTGCATTTTCGATTAAGTCCTATTACTGTCTTCGTAAAACTAAAAATTAGTGAATTTCATTTGCAGGTCCCCGTGGATGTAGGGTACAATTGTATCCGAACCACTTTAAAATTTGTGTCTTTTTATTACTGTTCCATTAACTGTTGCAACTCTTCGTAAAACAGTAGAACAGTAGCTAAAACTGAATCTGGAATTTATCGGACACAAATTTATAATTAATTTGCACAAAATAATTCTAACAGTTTCCAAATAAAATCATATTTATAATTGGCAAAATATATTGTGTATACATTATTTTTTTGGGCAAATGGCAAAAAGGCCCATCACATGGGACTTAAATGCATTTTAGTCCACAAAAAAAACAGTCTCTCAATTAAGCCCATCCCCATGTCTTTAGTCTAAAATACCCTCAATAATATAATTCTTAACAATTCCACCCATTATGCTCTAACTTCCTTAATATTACACATTGACCCCGGATTTAAACAAATATATCACATTAACCCCCAAAACTTTTTTTTTTCAGAAAATAATTTTTTTTCTGAAATGTTTTTTTTCCGGCCAGATTCCGCCGGAGACCGCCGGTCTCCGGCGTTGACTTTTTATTTTTTTTTTATTTTTTTGAAATTTTTTTTTTCCTGAATTTTTTTTCCGGCCGGTCAACCACCGTTGACCGCCGGTCTCCGGTGTTGACTTTTTTTTTTTTTTTTTTTTTTTGAATTTTTTTTTCTTAGAAAAAAAATATTTTAATTAATATTACTGTCTTGACTACTAAATTACTGTCTCAGACAGTAATATTACTGTTTGGGACAGTAATGTTATGAATATTATTTTTCCGAACAGTAATATTATTAATATTATTGTCTAAGACAGTTAAATTACTATTGGAGACAGTAATTTAAAATCCAAGACAGTTAATATAATTAAAATAAATTTTTTTGTAAGGAAAAAAATTAAAAAAAAGAAAGTCAATTAACAGTTAAATTACTGTCTCCGACAGTTAAATAACTGCTGGAGACAGTAATTTAGCAACGAATACAGTAATATTAATTAAAAATATTTTTTTTAAGAATAAAAAAGTCAATTAACAGTTAAATTACTGTCTCCGACAGTTAAATAACTGCTGGAGACAGTAATTTAGCAACGAATACAGTAATATTAATTAAAAATATTTTTTTTAAGAATAAAAAAGTCAATTAACAGTTAAATTACTGTCTCCGACAGTTAAATAACTGCTGGAGACAGTAATTTAGCAACGAATACAGTAATATTAATTAAAAATATTTTTTTTAAGAATAAAAAAAGTCAATTAACAGTTAAATTACTGTCTCCGACAGTTAAATAACTGCTGGAGACAG